TGAGGAGGCGGCGGAGGAGGAGGAGGATGAGGGGGAGGAGGAGGAGAGGAATGAGGAGGCGGCGGAGGAGGGGAGGAGGAGGCGGAGGAGGAGGCGGAAAAGAAAGAGTAATTAGCCTACTTTCTTTTCTTCACGTCGCCTCGCCCGTCGTCGCCGCGACACGTGACGACGTGTAACGCACATCCGCCGCCGACACTTCCGCCTCACGTCGCCGCTCCGACGCGAGCGACTTCCGCCGACGCATCCGCCGACGCCGTAACGACTTCCGGGTCGCGCGCGCGTGCGTCACATCCGGGTAACATCCGCCCCTCCGGGGCTCAGGCACGCGCGCATTCCTGCACGTGCGATCACCGAGCGCCTTTCGATGCGCAGGGTAATGATTCATCCACTCGTCACCGCTGGTCGGTTGGTGAGGGGGGAGGGGGTCATCAAATAGTGATAATGACTGCATAATATAGACTCGCGTACGAGGGTACGGAGGCTTAATTATAGGAAGCTTATACTAGCGGAGGGGCGCGAGGGGCCGCGAACTATCTCTCTCTCTCTCTCTTTCNCACGGCATCACTGCACGTGCCATCAGCCGAGCCCTGTTCGATGCGCCAGCAGCATGAGTGCCACAGCACCGAGCACCTCCCTCCCCCGTTCCTACGACTCAGGGTACTAATTACTTCAGTCCACTCGCGCTCACTCGCTGGTTTCCGCGGTTTGGTTGAGGACCTGCGGGGCTAGCGCGGGCGTCATGCATAATAGTGATATGAATGCATAATATAGACCGATTCCGCGTCACGTAGCGCGTACGGATGGCTTACATTATAGGAAGCTCTATACTACGGCGACTAGGGTCGCGACGCACGGCCCGCGCACACTCTCTCACCTCTCTCTCTCTCTCCAGTCTCTTCTCTCATTCTCCTCTCTCTCTCTCTCCTCTCTCCTCTCTCTCTTCTCCTCTTCTCTCTCTCTCGTCTCTCTCTCTCTCTCTTATCCTCTATCCTCTCTCTCTCTCTTTCCTCGTTCTTCTAATTATTTCTTTCTCTCCTGCTCACGTCGCTTTTATTTCTTTCTTCTCTCTCTCTCTACTCTTCTCTCTACATCTCTCTATATCTTTCTCTCTCTCTCTCTCTCTCTTCCCTCATCTCTGCTCCTCTCCTCTCCTCTTTCTCCTCGCGCTCTTCGTCTCGTCCTCTACCTCTCCTCCTCCTAGCCTATTGTCTCTCTCTCTCTCTCTCTCTCTCTCTCTCTCTCTCGTTCCTCTCTCTCTCCCTTCCCCCTCTCTCTCTTCTCAGCCGAGCTGCCACTGCGACATGTACCTGAAAGCTAACTCCCCATCGGGTTGACTTAGAAGCGGATCTTCTAACTAAGGATTTATCAGCGCTGAGCGACGCCCTGTTTCAATACGGGTAAATGAGGGATTATTAGAAGGAGCCGGTGCGGCGGGATGCTGCGGTGAAATAGAACTGGCTTCAGAAGACAAGGGGGTTTCAGCTAACCACATGGCTGCAATCGCTAGAGGAGGCTCAGCAGCATAAGCTAGAGAGATAAGGAGAAGAGATAACCGACGAGAGAAGCAAAGAACCCGGCGGTGGGGGAGGGCGCTTGACATGGCGCGCAGTGCGAGATGAGACTTCAAGGCGGAGGAGTAACCGAGAGATTCAAGAGAGAAAGAACAGAGAGACGAAGCAGAGGAGGTCTGAGGCAGAGTAAGATGAGCGAGTATGAGCCAGAGTTCGCTCGCAGAGACGAAAGATAGAGATGAGTAAGAGAGATAAAGAGACTTGAGACGAGAAGACGCACCAGAGAGAGAGAGAGAGAGAGAGAGAGAGAGAGAGAGAGAGCGAGAGAGAGAGCAAATTCCTCTTAACACGCTGTGTGTTAACAGATTATTTACGTGCAGTGGGCATGTGAGCGTGTGTGTGCGTGCGTGTGTGTATGCGCGTGTATATGTCCGCGCCTGTGCCTGTTTGCGTGTTCGTGCGCGTGCGTGCGCAGACGTACCTGTAGACTACCCTTGGCGCAGTACTCCGTCACCAGGTGAATGCAGGACTGCTCGACCGATGCTCCGATAAACGCGTTGACATTATCATGTCGCATGTCGCGCATCTATCGATCGGACAAAAACATCACACGTGGTGACACCATGACGTCACCAACCACGCACATCACAGCAAATCGTAGCTCTGAGCCGCAATCTATATAATTCCCGACACTATGATTAACAATGTATTATTAATCATTATGCCAATTAACTTATGATTATAATAACAAGTGTAACACCTGAGCGCAATGCTAAGCGTAATCCTACTCCTCGGTTCTAAAAGCTCGTCCTTATTATATATCTCACACCTGACCACAATCCTAACCCTTTAAATGACTAATCATTCTATTTATAATGACTAACTTAACACCTGACCATAATCCTAATCGCAGCTTTCTGCGCTTCGGTATAAATGTTATCCTATTTATAATAACAAACCTAGCACTTGACCACAATCCTAATCGTAGCTCTACGCCTCGGTTTAAATGTCATTCTATTTATAATAGCAAACCTATCACTTGACCACAATCCTAATCGTAGCTCTATGCCTCGGTTTAAATGTCATCCTATTTACAATAACAAACCTAGCACTTGACCACAATCCTAATCATAGCTCTACACTTCGGTTTAAATGTCATCCTATTTATAATAACAAACTTAACACTTAATCGCAATCATATACTCTAAACCTCACTCTAATTATAATAGCAAACCTAACCACAATGCTAAACTTCACTCTAAACCTCACCCTAATTATAATAGCAAACCTAACCACAATCCTAAACTTTACTCTAAACCTCACCCTAATTATAATAGCAAACCTAACCACAATCCTAAACTTTACTCTAAACCTCACTCTAATTATAATAGCGAACCTAACCACAATCCTAAACTTTACTCTAAACCTCACTCTAATTATAATAGCAAACCTAACCACAATCCTAAACTTTACTCTAAACCTCACTCTAATTATAATAGCAAACCTAACCACAATCCTAAACTTTACTCTAAACCTCACCCTAATTATAATAGCAAACCTAACCACAATCCTAAACTTTACTCTAAACCTCACCCTAATTATAATAGCGAACCTAACCACAATCCTAAACTTCACTCTAAACCTAACCCTAATTATAATAGCAAACCTAACCACAATCCTAAACTTCACTCTAAACCTCACCCTAATTATAATAGCGAACCTAACCACAATCCTAAACTTTACTCTAAACCTCACCCTAATTATAATAGCAAACCTAACCACAATCCTGAACGTAGCCCTTAGCCTCAATGCAAACCGCACTCTAATGATAATATCAAGGGTAACACCTAACCGCAATATGTAGCTCTGGGATTTAGTTTAAACCTCGACCTAATTATAATAATGACCCTATCACATGACCGCAATACTAAACGTAACATTAAGCTTCATTGCAGACCTTCTACTAAATATAATAACGAGCATAACCACGGCCTTAAACTTACCCGTGAACCTCATTCTAAACCGCAACCTAATTATAATAACAAATCTAACGCTTAACCGCAACACTAAACGTAATAGTAGGCCTCATGCATTATGAACCTCATACTAATTATAATAACAAACCTAACGCTTAACTGCAACACTAAACGTAATAGTAAGCCTCATTATGAACCTCATACTAATTATAATAACAAACCTAACGCTTAACTGCAACACTAAACGTAATAGTAAGCCTCATTATGAACCTCATACTAATTATAATAACAAACCTAACGCTTAACCGCAATACTAAACGTAATTGTAAGCCTCATTATGAACCT